TTAAAATTCATATTATGGCAAGAACCAATCAGCTAACTAAAGAAAAACGAGTGGCCATCATTACTTTAAGAAATGAAGGTCAGTCAGTCCGGAAAATTGCAAAAACTTTAAATGTGTCCCCAAGTGGAGTCGCAAAAACCATCAAGCGCTACAAGGAAACTGGCACACATGAGGACCGACCCAGGAAAGGAAGACCAAGAGTCACCTCTGCTTCTGAGGATAAGTTCATCCGAGTCACCAGCCTCAGAAATGGCAAGTTAACAGCAGCTCAGATCAGAGACCAGATGAATGCCACACAGAGTTCTAGCAGCAGACCCATCTCTAGAACAACTGTTAAGAGGAGACTGCGCCAATCAGGCCTTCATGGTCAAATAGCTGCTAGGAAACCACTGCTAAGGAGAGGCAACAAGCAGAAGAGATTTGTTTGGGCCAAGAAACACAAGGAATGGACATTAGACCAGTGGAAATCTGTGCTTTGGTCTGATGAGTCCAAATTTGAGATCTTTGGTTCCAACCGCCGTGTCTTTGTGAGACGCAGAAAAGGTGAACGGATGGATTCCACATGCCTGGTTCCCACTGTGAAGCATGGAGGAGGAGGTGTGATGGTGTGGGGGTGTTTTGCTGGTGACACTGTTGGGGATTTATTCAAAATTGAAGGCACACTGAACCAGCATGGCTACCACAGCATCCTGCAGCGACATGCCATCCCATCCGGTTTGCGTTTAGTTGGACGATCATTTATTTTTCAACAGGACAATGACCCCAAACACACCTCCAGGCTGTGTAAGGGCTATTTGACCAAGAAGGAGAGTGATGGAGTGCTGCGGCAGATGACCTGGCCTCCACAGTCACCGGACCTGAACCCAATCCAGATGGTTTGGGGTGAGCTGGACCGCAGAGTGAAGGCAAAGGAGCCAACAACACCTCTGGGAACTCCTTCAAGACTGTTGGAAAACCATTTCAGGTGACTACCTCTTGAAGCTCATGGAGAGAATGCCAAGAGTGTGCAAAGCAGTAATCAGAGCAAAGGGTGGCTATTTTGAAGAAACTAGAATATAAAACATGTTTTCAGTTATTTCACCTTTTTTTGTTAAGTACATAACTCCACATGTGTTCATTCATAGTTTTGATGCCTTCAGTGAGAATCTACAATGTAAATAGTCATGAAAATAAAGAAAACACATTGAATGAGAAGGTGTGTCCAAACTTTTGGCCTGTACTGTACATTTTAACATTTGAGGTCTTATTTTTTTCAGTTGCATGTTTTATCTTTTCAGATTCAGATCTTATTTTTTACAGTTTCAAATCTTATTTTTTCACTTTCAGATCTTTTTTTTCAGTTTCAAATCTGTTTTTTGAGTTTCAGACTTTTGAACCTGATGTGGCGTGGGGGGCGTGGCATCAACTGAGACGGTTGTGGAATCATAAGTGACAGTGCCTTCAGGGAACGTAGGAACTAAAAAAATTCTGACTCAACACTTATATACAAATGTTAAAATAAAATATGGAAGTGAAAAGTGAAAAATTATTCATTCAAAAGAATTACCAAAGTGAATCAAAATTATATTTAACCTGAAAAAATCTACAATGGCTACAATGTGAGAATCTACAATGTAAATAGTCATGAAAATAAAGAAAATGCATTGAATGAGAAGGTGTGTCCAAACTTTTGGCCTGTACTGTATATGGAAGTGAAGAGTGAAAATAAATTATTTATTCAAAAGTGAATCAAAATTATATTTAACCTGAAAAAACGTTTCATACACTTATTTTCATTTTTGAATACATTGTTGTATTTTTCAAAATTCAAGATCAACACATGAATTTTCAGTTTCAAATTTTATTTTTTCAAGTACAAAACTTTTGACCCTAATGTAGCTCCATAAAAATGTATTTTTATCTAATGTGGTCCCAAATAAACAGGTGAAATAAATAAATGCATACAAAAATAAATGAACATAAAATGGCTCAAATAATACAAACTACAGGTCATTAAAAATGTTATACATATACACACACAAACATATATGTATCGTCAGTCAAATAGAATACGTTATAGACCGTGATAAGATGCGAGGCCGTGTCAGGCCACCAGACATGCAGCACACATGAGATAAACAAGTTACTGCTGTTTCTCATCTGTCTGACACAGAGTTGTTTGCTTTAAATCACACAACAGGGACATTGTGATGTGCAAAAGAACAAAAGACAGCTGCACAAAGTGTACTTGTGACAACAACACAGTTCTGGTCTGGTTCGTGCAGATGACCTGGTATAAACTCCCCAGGCTTTCTATTTAGTTTGGATCACTTTTAGAAAAGAAAGGGTGAGGGTGTTTTAGGAGGCCGGCCCAATTCACTGCAGGCCAAGACTCTTCAGTCTATTGTACAGCTTCATACTGCGGTTTTTGAAATGTGTTTGTTCATGATTTCATTGTAAGACTTCATACATACAACCATGGGTGTAGATTTCAGGGGGGGACACAAGGGACACATCCCTCTTAATATGTAGAACATGTTCATTGGTCCAGCCCCATTAAAACATGAGAGTAGCACTCCAAAAATTAAAGACATTAATAACATAAACTGGTGCAGAAAAGGCACAAATTGGTGCAAAAATCAAATCACCAGAATGCAGAGATTAAGTGTATGATGCTCGAAATTTTCTGGTGGAGAACTCCCAGTTTGATGGAGTTAGATTAATGGCTCTAAACTGTACTTAAAAGTCTTTTTTTAATCCACACAGAGTTTTCTAAGAACTATAACATTCTAGTTTGTGCAGGAAGGTTTCAGTTGATGGTGCAGACAGCTCTAATCTTTCTTTTAAAACCAACTGACTGGGCGAAAACTTTAAACTAAGTTTGATGGGATTTATTTCCTTCTGACAAAAGAGGAAGTCACACTGAATGAAATAAATATGACCCCATAAATCTAAATTTAAATCAAATGTAAAGTTCCTTTTGAATTGTCTTTTGCTAACTGTTACCTCACTTGGATGTTTGAGCTTCTCTGTGCAGAGTGAAGACTTTGACACTCGGAGGCTGTTTACACATTCATCTGCTGAAGAAGGAAAGTTTCTCTGTACACACCTTGAATCTGAGTTTGAGACTTGTATGTGTGAGTTTATTTTGTGTCATCACAGCTATCTTTGGAAACCAGTCATGGTGCAGTATTCAACTTACGCAAGTGTGATGTGGAAACTTAAAGCCCCCAGTGCACCAGTAGTTCAAATAGTTAGACTTGTGAAATTATTATTTGCATTTTCACTCTAGATTTTTTGACAAAAGAGAGAGGGAGCATTTTTTTGTTCAAGGGGGAAATTTAAGATATAATTATAGCTGCTGCGCAGCAATGGGTTGGGTCCAGGCATTTTTAGGCAATTCTGAGCAACAAGCAGAAGAATTGGAAGACATTTAGGTATTTAGCAACACAATCTGCCTTTCTATCTCACTGAGCTAATCAGTCAGTGACAATTCATGTGTAGCTTCACAAACTGACTAAGCCAGACGTGCAGGTTTAGCAGCCGTCCATGCATGGAAAAGCAGATTTCAAACCACTGTAAAAAATTCAGTTATTAAGACAAAAATCTGAAAATACACATATTGCATCTAGACAGCATGGAGATGTTGGTAATTTGTTTGTAACAATGATTGATTTGCTCCATAAGTGAAAAACTGATGTTTAAAATTGCCATTTTTACATTGACTCCAATTGTTCACATTAGAGCAAAATTCAAAATGCTGTCAAAAATTCAGTTTTTGAGATAAAATTCTGAAATTTGCCACACATCATCTACCATGACTCTAGAATTTTGTCATTTTTTTCATGAACATTGAAGATTTATTTAGCAAGAATTTGCATGTATATGTTTACAGTACCGTTTACAGTCAAACATTTTGATGCACTGTAGGCTCAATTTTTGATAAATCAAAAATCTGAGAAACGTAGTTTTTGTAGGACAGTCTGAAGATGCTCTGTAGCAAGTTTGGTGTCAACTGAGCAAATATTGTGGGAGGAGATAGGTTTAAGAAGTTTTACAGTTTTTGAAAAAAACAGAGTGATGGACTTCAGAATTTTTAATAGGTTTAAATGTACAAAAGTTTCTTCAGTATTGGGGCTACAGTTTGATGAAAGTTGTGAAGTTGTAGCACGTATGGTTGATTTGTTATGAATTTTCAAAGTTTTGAACTTTAGACGCTTGCTGTAGCGCCACCATCAGGACTATTGTCTTGAGTTTACAGCTGAGGATATCTGGCATGAGACTGGACCTTTGTGCAAAGTTTGGTGAGTTTTCACCCATGGGAAGTATGATTTCCTCAGAAGAAGAAAGAAGAAAGAATACCTAGGATTACAATAGTGTCCTGGCAGCTTAGTTTATATACAAAGTGGAGTTGTTTTTTTGTATCTTTCTGGAGGGCATAGGTGTAGATTTTGGGAGTGACACAGAGGACACAGTCCCCCTCAACGTTCAGGACATGTGCATCCCCTACCCCCCTGCAGCCATCCTACGTTCATACCAGCTTCAACTAAATTAAGGGTGAGGAGTTTGGTGAACCTAAGGTGACATGAAGATGATCTCAGTTTCATACAGGCTGCATCCATGTCAATCTAGGCTTTTCGGTCGATAGCACATACCTCTTAACGTAACTGTAAATGGGCAGTTGTTATCACTAACCATACAGTTAAATAATGCCAAAAAAAGATGAAGAGATGGCTCTGTTTCCCTCCAAGAGCCTTGATGATCCTCCATAATCGTTCCCACTTGACCTCCTGTTTACATATGACCCTCTGAAAGGCACAGAGATAAACAATGCACAAAAGCATCTGAGGACAGCTGCACAATCACAAAAGAAAAGATAGCTTAAGAAAATCGTTTCATCGGGTCACCACCAGCTGGGCCTCGTTTGTTTAGACAGCTTGATGTTTGAAGTCCTGGGTCGTTTTACGCAACACCTATTGACTCCACCGGGTTTCATCCCTATAAAAGCAGCAGTAACTTCGCTCAAAGTTAGATGCGCTTAGGGTTGTTTCTGCCATCTCGAACTCTACTTTGTGACTCCCAACGGACCAGGAAAATGTACGCGGCTGTTACGCTCTTCGTCTTCATGTGCTTGACTGCCACCACCCATGCAGATCATCACCATCAGCCTTGTCGTAAGAATTTGCAGTTCTATCATTTTGTGATTTGATTTTGAGTCGTCTGTGTGTTAGGTAGCGTTCAAGATCACTGCATTTCCTATTTGCGTCAGCAGTACTCAAAGGTCTTTTGTTATTAGTTTTAAATGTGTCTAAAGTCTAATATTTTGTATCAGCATGCGTAAGTCCCGTCTAACTGACAACGTTGTCTTTCAGATGCACCCAATATGACAGGATTCATGTCTGTGGTGAGTTTTTAAATGTGTCTGTCAAGGCCAGTGGTTCTTCTGGTACTTTTGAAACACAGCATTAAACTCTTTCTGTTTGTCTCTGAATGCATGAATGAAACCAGATATCCCTAAAGGGTGAAATGAAAGCATATGGAGCATTCACCTATGATTCAATGGGCAAGAAACTGCGATTCAGATCAAACGAGAGCCACCCCACAAACACATCACTAGGTCTGGATCTGCTGATGTTTTTCGATGATGTAAGTCAGTTCTGTTTTTTAAAAAAAGTCACCTTTTACTTGATGCTGTTTTGCGCCCTGACAAATGAATTTGTGTGTACATGTGTTGCAGGGAGTATTCTACGAGATTGACAGCAAAAACCAGAGCTGTGAGAAAAAAGCATTGCAATGCACCCAGCACCCCCTAGATATTCCCGATGATGCAACATTTGTGGCTACGGTCAACTGTGGGAGTCCATCCATTGAAGGCGAGGGATTGAAAGCCAATGTATGGACAGGAACAATGTCAGACAAGAAAGGTGTGAGAGCTTCTATAAAATCATATGTATAGTAATATGTGGCAGAGTTCTTTATGACTTGAGTGTTTTCCGTCTTTCTCTTTTCAGGTCACTACTCCATGAGTGTGACCATGGGATGTTTGCCTGTGTGCACACTGTACTTCCAGGAGTCCTCATCATTCATTATCAGGTTGGTGAAGTGTTTTTAAATGCTTGGGGCGATCAACACTTTCTGGTATCTGTTACCCACGCAGGCCATGATGAATGTCCTTTAAAAATGTCATGTTTGTGTCACTCTCTCACAGCCTCACGGAGGTTGAAATCGAGATCAAGGATCCTGACCTCCTCACCGTGCCCACCTTTTGTCTGGGACAGCCTCTGGAGGAGACACCTGAAGGGACGGTCCATAGCTTCCTCAACGAGTTCATGTAGATGCAACCCTGCCAGCAGAAAATCAAACCCCTATTCAAGTGTGGGCTGCCAGAACCTTAGACTTTTCTCTGCTTTTTTAATGTGTGGCTCGAGTTTTTCGTGTGACACTGCACTACATCACATCTGTTTCAATCTTCCACTCCCCTATGAAGCTGTGGCTTTGAATGGATCATCCTGTATACATACACTTTGATGTAAAGGAAAGAGATATGACATGGATTATAGAATTAGTCATAATTACTAACAGTATGGTGGCTCTTCATGTTGGTATTGCATACAAAACCTGTAAGATATGATTAATGGAAAAATAAAATGTCAAAGCTGTTGAAGGTGTGAAGAGACTTTTCTTTTGCATCCAAGATAATGACCTTAAGTGTTTTCGCTTGACTTTGTACAACTTTAATCCAACTATGGTTTGGAAATGGAATATAATATAAGTATAATCACCTAATAAAATAAGAAGTGTTGCCTTAGAATAGAGACAAAGAGGCCTCTGCGGGTAATTTGGCTCCTGGTAAAAACCTCCTGAACATCTGGATCTTAAATTAAGGAGGAAATAGGTGTGAACAGATTAGCAGATGCTGGGCCAGCGGCCTATCTCTGCCATGCCACCAGCGTTGAAAACATACTGATTTGTAACATAGAACTGATTTATCCAGTGATTTTTTTTTTTTGATTAGTGGGGGAGGAGACCTCTGCGGATAATTTAGGTCACGGTAAAAACCTCTTGAACGTGTGGATCAGAAATAAGGTGAACACACTTTAAGTTATCAGAGAAAGTGGAGCACAGACTAGCAGGTGGGAGGCTAGCAGCACATCTCCAACATGCGAGAAGCGTCAGAAAAACCCTGATTTGAAATGTAAATCTGCTTTATCCAGTGTTTTTACCAGTTTAAATACCCATGTCCATTTGTTTTGGAGAGGAAGAGTCATGGCAGCAGCAGTCGAGCTAATTAGGAAAAAATCCCTGCGAAAGTTTCCCCAGTTTCAGTAGGCACTAGACTGTGACTGTGACTTTTAACTCATAAACTCACCTCTTTTTTTTCTTCTAGCTTGGCTACATGTAAACCTTAAAAAGGACCCTGTTAACCACTGTTTTTCAGTGTTTCTTACCAAGAAGCATGTTTATCCTCAAGGCCAGCCACAATGGGTGTATTTCTTAGCTTACAAAACATCTGCAAAGCCTGAAAAGACACAGGTGTAAATAACACAAGCAGGAATTTGTAATACCTGTGACCTCTGCGCCAAATTTCAGTCTCCTAGGGCAAAAACTACTGATACCACTTTTTCCTTCCTGATACTGATTCCGATCCCTGAACCTTAGGTATCTGCCGATACCGAGTACCGATCTGATACCAGCGCGTAAAATAAAAATGGATGGGATATGAACTGTTGTATGTCTCAACTCCTAAAACTCTGTGTAAAATATTAAGAAATAAATACATAATAGTAGAATCAATGCCATAAAACTTTTTTATCATTATTATTATCCAGTGTTGACACAGATCAAGACACAGGTTAAAGTGCAGCCACACAATTTGGTAAAAAGACATTTTAAAGGCTACAGTAGAATGCTTTTTAAACTCCGCTCTGCCTGTAGTGTGCGTATGCGTAATGACATGAGGCATTACGTGGTATTGGACTGGTCATAGGCTGTACTCGCCGATACCGATACCGCATTTTAGGTAGTATCGGAGGCATTTCCGATACTGGTATCAGTATTGGAAAAACTCTACAAATTAGGTGAGCACACATTAGCTGATGCCGGGCTAGCACAGAATAGATAAATGAGAAGAGCCCTCCCTGTTCTTTATACTTTCTGTGCATTCTGTCGCCTAGAAATATTTCATCAAGGAATGTGTACTATGCAATGCAGATTATTAATGTTCTGTCCAGTGCCAGCTGATCAAATACAATGTCAGGAACAGGCAACATGGTAAACACAGTATCAGCTGAACAAAGTTTGAACTTTAAAAACTGACTGTCAGAGTCACACAACATATTATAAATCAGTATATATGAATGTACATCAGTATGATTATTACAAATAGGTATATAATATATAAAAGTCAATGTTCACAGGCTTGTTTCAGTTTCAGCCATTGTTTTACTTTTGTGTTAAAAGCCTTGAGCTCTGTCAGTGTTTTTATTTCAGATGGTAATGTATTCCATAGGTCGTATTTCAGGTCTGGAGGCCAGTCTATGTTGTATGTCATGTTCATGTCAGAGTCAAAGCAGTCATAATAACATGCTAGAATTAAGCAACCAAAATATAACAATAAAAAAACTAACAATAAGAGAATGATCGTGATCATTTCCTAGTGACTGAGAAAAACACACATTTTTATGTGAGACTAACTTCACTTGACAATATGTGCAAACTCCACACACTGATGAATTGTTGTGTTCATATTCCAAGTTAACACAGTCAGATTGTTTGGAGCACAGAGGCCGTCAAGACTATAGAAACAAATCTTGAAAACTAATTTTCTGGATGATTCAAATAATTCTGTGATGTCAGCCGGATTATTACAAGCAGTTCTCACTTCATGCATCATGTGAGCAGCAGACTGAACACAGTATTTACAGTAGAGGCAGTAAAAAAGAAACATGTCTGTACATCAGCTGGAGAGCTGGGTCTCTTTCTCTTTCTCTCTTTCCTTCCTTCTTTCTTTCTTGACTAAATTTTGAATACTGTTTTCAGTTCTGGTACGTTGAGAGCAAGTCTACCGGAGTCACATTCCTTCTGTGTACACACACGTACTTGGCAAATAAAGCTGATCCTGATTCTTTCTCTCTATCCAGTCTAATAAAACATGACACAAAGATATTATTCGAATATGGTACATGGTCACATATTTTGTTTTGTTGATTTTCAGTTGATTCATATACTCAGCGTTCAACTACGCTGACGACTAGGCCCCGTTATTCATAAAAATGAATCTGCCTAAGAATGATCCAGATTTGGAACATCCCGTGTTTTGCTGTCCAGGATCAGCCAGTCCATCTCACTTTGGTCTTTACAAGATTACCAAATTTGGATATCCACTGCTCTAAACAGGACTACATATCACAATGTAGGCAGTCTGTCAACACACTGCAATCACCACTTATTGCCATTGGTTCTGCCAAAGAAAACGAAGCAGAGATCTTCCAGACTTTAAGCATTTCAGAACGGAAAAAACAGCAGTCAGTATCAAACAGAAAGCATTTAATAGACAGCCTAAAGTCTTCTTTATCGCCGCAACGGTTCAGAAAATCACAGATCACATGCAAAATGTAAATAAATGTGTATTTTTTAACTATGTTTTGTTCCTGAAATCCACCCTGAATCAAGGCATCAGGATGATTTTAATCAAATAAACTCCAATCCTATGAAAAACTTCTGAGCAACACAAAATGAAGGTATGATCAATATCAAAAGCAAGACTGGATTACGTGATCTAGTCTGATTTCAGTATCTTGTTTCCCGCTTTTGAACAACCCATTTTCAAGATTTGATCCAATCCACTAGCTGAAATCTGATTGGATTACTTTTGAACAACTGGGCCCTGGATACCACTGAATAAGAATCACGAGTCAGCATAGTTGGAGGGAATTGATATCAAACTGTAAAAAGTCTTTCAAATGAATCGAAATAAAAGTTGTGTTGTTTATTTAAAAAGCAAGATACGTCTGGTCTTTTCTCCATTTACTCTTGTTGCTCTTACAGCTGCTGTTATGGATCCAGATGCCACTAATCTGAGTGTTGTTGCTACAGTCTGACGTTTGCTGCCACCAAGAGGCCAAAGAATTAATCATTGCAGGTTTCAAGTCAGTCTCCAGACTTACAGCAGACTTTAAGGCATTAGCAGAGTGAACATTTGAATTGAGATGGTTGCAAAATATCTGACAGGAGAGCAGCTGCATTAATCCAATAGAGACTTTCATTTGTCGGCCATGACGTTCACTGTGGGAAAAGTGACACATTTCACCAAGACCTCTTTATTGTCCTGTAGACACTCAGCAATAACACAAGAACAGCTGCTGTGACTGGCTATCAGCGGTCAGCTAGCTTACATAGAGGTGACTGTGTTAAATTCAAGCAGAACAATACACATATATCATTTGTTAAGATGTCTTTCCTTTGTCCATCTATCTGAATGTTTTCCACCAAAGGATCCTTCAACACTAAACTTTTCATAATGAGAGACACAGTCACAGGCCTCAGCCATAATACTGTAACAGTTCAGTACAATGCATCTCCACTTACACCAAAATTATTAAAGATTCAAACAGCTCCAGGATTTACTGGTTGCATATCTCACATGATTATTTTGGAATTGTCTTTAAAGGGAAGCCAGTGCTAACACTATGAGTGATGCTATTTATACATAGGCTGCTAAACTAATTTGAACTCACTTGTAGATTCATTTTGTTACAGCAGCCCTGCCTGTGAATATTTTGTCTATCCCAATTTGCATAGCAAATGTGGAGAGGGGAGGAATGTGAGAAACTATTTTGACTACGTTATTGTACTGAACATACCGCTCCTTTTTAGTCTAATAAGAAGCAGCTGCTATTGGCACCAAAAAGAAAAACTTCCAAAAAGGGACCAAACAAAAAAGCCTAACAAAGACAAACATGTTTCCTGCACTGGTCTGCATTTAACCATTGTAAGAAATAAATCCTGACAGCTCTCTTTCGCTGCTGCCAGAGCCCTCACCAACACCAAGAGAGTGGAGCACATCACACCAGTGCTTAAGTCACTGCACTGGCTTCCTGTGTGTCAAAGGATAGACTTTAAAATCTTGTTACTTGTCTATAAAGCACTAAATGGTCTCGGGCCTAAATACATCTCTGATATACTTGTACGTTATGAAGCATCCAGACCCCTCAGATCATCTGGAGCAGGTTTACTCAGTGTTCCCAGGATCAAAACCAAACAAGGTGAAGCAGCCTTTAGTTTCTATGCTCCCTGCCTGTGGAACAAACTTCTGAAAGTGTCAGCTCATTTAAATCAGGGCTTAAAACATTACTATT